TCTTCCCACTGAATTACAAAACTTTCTCCAATATATCTTCTTTGCATTTTTTATTGTTTTCCTCACCATTGCCTGCTGCCTTTTATATTCGATAAGTTTTTGTATATTATGAGTTTTTTTTTAATACTTTAAATGCTTTATTTGGAGATTTCATCACATTTCCACATACTTCTGTCCTCCATGGTACAATTTTATTTTTCTGTTTCCCTCCTTTCAGATTAACTAATTGTTTAGCCGCTTCTAAAATGGCTTCACACACAGAATGATTCAGCCCCTCTATATCTGGATGAATATTAATTGTCTTTAAATGTCTTTCAGTAATCATTCTAAATTTTCCCCAATCAGCAGTATTATTCCATCATCCATCTATCTGCCTTCACGTTTTCACTCCCTTCCATATTAAATCCTACTTCTATCACTATAACATAATGATCGCTTCCTATTGTTTCATTTTCAACTTTCCATGTACATAAGCCAGCTATTGTTTCTGACACCAACGTTAGATTAAGTTAGACTCCCTTCCACTCCTAATATTTATTTGTGTACCATTTCCATCATTTAATCATATTAGATTGTTTATATCAATCATTTTTTATATTACTTCTCCATTGCTATCATTTTAACCTCCCCATAAAGTGCATTAAAATGTCCACAACATATAATCTTCCTCTTTACATTTTCTGTCAACTCCCTTAATAACTCTAAAGATTATTTTTTACATGGATTATAAAAATTAAATCTTCCCAGCCCCAATTTTACTCCAAACTTCAATAACAGTCATTTCCCAAAGTTCTCCTTTTTTCAAAGCTCTTTGTGACATTTATTGTTTGACTAATATCACGCATCCCCCTCCTAGCCCATCCTCTCTATCCCTGCGTATACTTTTATATCCACTAATGACTAAATCTAACGTTGATTTCAGCCTAGTTTCTTGAATACATATAATTTCAGTTTTATTTTTTAGATTGTTAATATAGCCTTTAAACTTCTGCACATTTTGTATTAGACTCCTGGCATTGCAGAATAATCATGCAGCTCTTCCTTCACCACTTCCTGTTTCCCATCTGTCTCTAATTTTTTGTTCACCTGTTCCCATGTTAGTTCCCTCATGTCTAGCGGGGAAAAAACTAAG